CACACACACACACACACACACACACACACATACCCATCCTGCCTTCTTTAATTATTTTTAATTAATTAAGAAATTTGTAATTTATATATATATATATATATTAAATAAGTTTGATTTGCGATAATAGAATATTGCTGATATCTAATAATCGTTTAATGTTCGGCGCGTGCGACAATCATTTCTTTTAAACATTTTATCGCAATTATAATACTTGATTAGAGAGATTTGATCTTAAAAAAATAAATTAAATATACTGTATATTTTCTCTGAAATGTAAACCTTTCCAGTATTAAGAAATAATGATTCGTACATTTGTATTTCTTGGTATTTGGAAATTTTAAGTTGTGTCAGAGTCATGATGTAATTATTTGTCATGTATTACGTGTTTCCTTACTCAAAACTCATAGCACGTAATAGGACGTATCGTCAAGTTATCGTAACATTTACTATTGTTACACTGATATACGTGACAAACGAATTGCACACGTAATAACTTGTTTTATCTCATATTTTATGTGATGAAATAGTTTTAATAATTTTAGTCATTGTTTTATAAAAAAAAATTACAAAATTGCAAAGCGAAATAGTATTCGACTATTAGTAAACAATATATCTCAAACTCTATATGTTATTTTTTTTCTGTATATTTACCGTAATATATTAAATCTGAATATAAGAACTGATAATGAAATAATTAATAAGTTGTCGAAAACTATCTTATGCGTATTCGCGAGAAAATATCCATGTCCTAAAATTTTCCTATTTTTACAATCGTTAATATATATTACGAAATCTTTTTTATCTGAAAATTTGAGCTTCAAACATTAAAGTCTTCTATTCTTCTAATCCGGACTAACTTTATTTATCAAGAGACATGATCGTGTCTTACGCCAAGTATATGCGTAAAACATGATCAAAGTATGGTAAGTACAAAATATGGTAAAACTTAAGTATATAAAAAAAAATGACTTAAGTATATAAAAACTATAGAAGTTAATATCTTTTTTACAGAAATACTCTTTTAAATATGATAATTCAGTTATATAAAATAAATTGCTAGAATTAGCATTATAAAATAAGAAATCTTTCCTTGAATTTTATTTTATAAACTTAAATTTTATTTTTATGAACTTTACATTATATATGCGCGATTACTGTGTATATCTATCACTTTATGATTTATATAATTTATGTATATTAATTGTAGTGCTTGAGGGGGGAATTCTAAGAATAGAAAAAGAGAATGAAAAAAATTTCTTTTTTGTAAACGTCATTTATTTTATAAATATAGCCACAAGTATGACGAGAAACACATTTAACAATACAATTTTATATTCACTCAATTCAACATTTAACTTTAATAGATAACAAAGTAATAAGTAAATTGTACTCTCACTTGCTTATCACGACAAAAAATAATCATTTTTTTTTACTTAATATTGCGATGTATATATACACATTTAAACTGTTACTAAAATGTTACTAAAATGTTATTAAAATACGTTTGCATGTCAAAAAGCCGCTAAATTGATCATATGGCACATAAAGAATTGGTAAATAATTTAATAATACTTTACCTGAGAATGTATACCGTACTCTCAATAATTTTTTTGTATAACTCTTCTCATGACTTTTTACATAAGTCCGTCAAGTTTGCTTAAGATTTATCTCACTAATTATGATTTTATTATTAATGACTTTTGTTTCATTTTTTTCATTTTTACGATAATATTCCTGTTATTATCAAATGAACATATAAATTGTATTTTTAATTAAGGAAAATAAAATATGATTGAAGCATTTCTGCCATTAATCAAATATATGAAATTCTTTGTAATCTTAATCTGTAACTTTATATTCAAGATCTAATCTTGTAACTTTATATAATCAATAATTCTTCATACATGTACATTGCTATTTTGTAACTTTTACACATTACACATAAGGCACGTAGAATTATTATAAATTATTTATTGACAGAAATATGCAAAATGAGCATAGAGAAAACGAGCATACTATGGATCGTCATTATTCGACAATTCGATGTCTGTTAGATTCATTAATCGGAACATACATACATATATATCGTACATATATAGATAATAACATTAAATTTTTAAAAGTGTTTAAAATGCTTATCTTTTTCCCTTATTTAAAAATAATCGCTTTTGTTTATACAAAGAAAACATTTCTAAACAGATTGAATCATTATACTACATTTCAAATCAAATCTCAATCGCTTCTTTCCTCATCAATCTCTTCCTTCTTTCATTTCGCATTTACTTTCGCAATTAGCTGTTGACGATGGCCGACCAGTCTTGTTTAATGAGGTCAGCACCTTTTTCGCCAATCATAATAACAGGAGCATTTGTATTACCACTACATATTGTCGGCATAATAGACGCATCGATAACTCGAAGACTTTCAACACCGTAAACTCGTAATCTTGAATCCACTACGGCAGTGGGATCGGTTGGCGGACCCATTTTAACAGTACCTACAGGGTGATAAATTGTCATAGAGATATGACGAATATGACATTCCCAATAAGCGTCGGTGCCGAATTTAAGATGTTTGCATCCCGGTAATTTGATGCGATGAATTCTCGAGCCGAATTGCTTAAAGACTTTTGCCTCGCTAACTTTAATCGCAAGTTTTGCACCTTCTACCAAAATAGCAATATCCATGGGATCGGAGAAGTAATTTGCGTTGATGACGGGACTATGAAATGGATTGGAACTTCTCAAACGTACAGTACCACGAGATTTAGGTCTCAACAAAAGAGGCATGATGGTCCAGGCATCTCGATTGCTAATCGGCCTGTAAACTGTGTTATACACTTCCTCTGTCAGCCCTAAAACTTTTCGAACTTGTACTCCTCCATCGGAATTAATAGAGGCTGGCGCCATGTGGAATTGCACGTCCGGATAATCGATAGATTTATTGGCATATTTTGTATTTACGAAGGCGTAACCTTCAACGCCACCCAAAGTTGTCATGGGACCTCTGCCGTTAACCACATAATGCATCATCATTGGAGCCGCCTGAAAACGATTTTGAACTATGGCGACTGGTTTATCGATCAAGAACGTCAAACCGCCCATGCCTACATGATCTTGAAGATTGTCACCAACTTGGAGATCTTTAATGACGGGAATACCAACGTGTCGTAAATGCTCTTTTGGTCCAATCCCTGATAGCATCAAGATCTGAGGGCTGTTGATAGCACCTGCTGACAATATGACTTCTTTGCGTGCTCTCACTATCTGCCTGCGACCGTTCCTGACGAACTCGACGCCAGTCGCTCTCATAGTCAACGGATCGATAACGATTTTCATCACATGACTATTCATAGCCGTATGAATATTCTTACGTAATCGGACAGGTCGCAAGAAAGCCTTTGCGGTGGAACATCTACTTCCTCTGCGAATAGTCCCTTGCGATATCATAAAGCCTGTCTGTTTTTCGCCATTTATATCTCTATTCTCGTATCCCATTTCAACACCAGCTTGAACAAAAGCGACTACTAAAGGCGTCTTCCATGGCGATTCCTGAACCGTAAGATAACCGCCCGTCGCGTGATAAGGGCTCCTCCGCAAATATGGATTTCGATTGTCTTCTGATTTTTTGAAGTAGTAGAGAACTTGGTCGTATCCCCAACCAGGATTACCTAATGACTCCCAATGATTATAATCTTCTTTATTACCGCGCACGTATAGCATGTAATTGAGAACGCTGCTTCCGCCCAAAACCTTACCGCGAGGCCAATTACAACGGCCGCCTTTCATGGCCAGGCAAGCCTTACCTGTGGCCTCAGTTCTATATTTCCAATCCAGTTTGGTCAACTGCAGGTACGCGGCGAGAGACGGAACGTCCGTAATCTCATTCTCGTCTGGACCAGCTTCTAGCAACAACACATTCCAGTCCGGTATTTCCGAGAGTCGACTGGCAATTACTGCTCCAGCCGACCCACCTCCAATCACGATGAAATCATAATTAGAGTGTAAAGGATATTTATCGATAGGTCGGCTCTCTGGATCCAGTAGATCGTAGCGATAGTAAGAGAGACCCGCGATTAACAATGGTACAAGCCATAGACTCGTGCCCATTAAGCCGATAGCACCTTTTAAGGCGGACGTCACTATTATTGTACTGAAGACCATCCTTGCGAGAAAATAATGCCGCCTTGTGAATTTTCAATGTTTTTGGGTTTGGGCTAAGCTCATTATTTCATTGCTTATCATAATGGAATATCGAACCCAATGTCCATTTTCTCAGTCTCACGATTATTGAAGGATACGTCGATGTTTACATTTTTCATAGTGTCTTCATTTGGTTCGATCATTTCTATATTACTCCATTCTGTAATAATAAAAAAAAAGATAATAATGATGATAATGTGATAACAGCGATAACAGCAATAAACAATGATAAAATAATAAAGAAGGAGATGTGTAAAAATTGAATTGAATTAAATAAATTCGGATATTAGGCAAAACATGCCTACGCTTTTTTTAAATTAAAAACTACTTAATTTTAATCGTGACCGTGATTCATATGTATATTATGTAGGAAATAAGGGATCGATTAGATATTAGTGAGAGATTGAATGTAAATAGTTATCATAGATGGAACCGTTATGATCATGCAGACTAATAACATTTTTGATTGCAGTGATTTTTGATCACGACTAATGACATCATAATGCACTTCCTGTACTCGCTTTTTCTTCCTTTATTTTTTCTTTTTTCAATTCTCACATCCTATGTCCATTTTAGATGCACTGCATTATGACGTTAATAATGTCGCTCTCACGATCAAAACTTCATTGCAATCGAAAATGCTACAAGTGTCGCGAATCGCAATAAACAGATAGATTCTCTGATTTCGAAACCGATTAGTTTCATTAATTTTGCTACAAACTTGTTACATTTGATTATCTCTTAAATCATAGAACTTGGGAGAATTTGGGGGAAAATCACCAATTGTTATTACTGTTATTACTAGAAAAAGAATGTTGGAATTTTTCGAGTAATATAACTTTACTTACGGTGATACGAAGTGGGCAGTGAATATTCTTAATTACGAAAGGAAGAATGAATAGAATTAGCATGGATATAGCGTGGAATAAGGAAATACTAAAGTATCTCAACGAATTAAAAATCTGTCGTAATACGTTAACACGATTAGCATTTAATTTAACGAGAGCCACTTCGATAGTCAGTTTCGATTCATATGTAAATTGAATAAAAAGCACCCAAAGTGCCTCGTTATGTCTGCGGGTTATACTCTAATCCGCCGGAAGAACGAGATGGTGATCTCATAACGGGAAAGGAGAAAGTGTTTCACCGACGTAAACCTCGATTCATTTCTTTTTACAAGACGATTCATGGAGTTACGTTATGCTGCCTCTCTCCATTCCTTACTCCCACCCCCCGCTTCTCATCCTCCTTCCTTTCTCCTTCTCTTCCTACTTCCTCCTCATTTTTTTATATGTGTCAATTTTATTCTCATGTGATTGTCGTTTTAAAACAGGCACGTCCTTTTGTTGACAGAGATATTTCCGATTGTAATTTGATGAAGACATCTCTATTAACTTACATTTTAATCATGTGAATGGGTTCTTACGAGCGACAAAATTTAAGATGATAAAAAATCATTCGTGGTCTATTGAATATTATAAGATAAGAAGCGAACAACAAAAAGTTCTGTGTAACATTATTTTTAAATAAATTTCTTCAAATACATACAAAATTTAAAGATACAAATAAGATTCAAATATTCGAAGAAATATCTTCTAATTCTAAATAAAGGAAAAAGAAATCTTCAATTTATAATAGACAGAAGAAACATATAAAATTTTGCATATGCAGCAATATCTGTAATTGCTCTGCATAACAGGACAATTTCGTTACATTAATCATTTTTGACGAGTTAATTTCTATATTTTTCCTCATGATTTTGATGTGATTTTTTCCAAAATTCAAAAATTTTTTTCTTGATATGCAGCAATAATTGAGATAATAATTTACATTAATACTATACTAAATAATTTACATTAATAATTTACAATAATAATTTAATTAATATTTGCATTATAATTTAGACATTAATACTCTTTGGTGTACACACATCAGAGTTCAATAAATTTATAATATTTGAGAAATTTATTGTTTTATTATACAGAATTAATTATGTAACTCGTTAATTTTATTTTATGAAAAATAAGACGAATTGGTAAATCGTATGTGCGAACGCAGATTCATTAAGCCGCGTTAAAGTTTGTTGGTTTTCTGTGACTATCTACATTAATAACATTAGAAACGAGAAAATATGTACATGATAAAAATTTTTGCAAGATATATTACAATGAAAATATTTTTTGATAAAATAACAATTAATTATAGTATTATAATATAATTATAATATAAAATAACAATTAATAAAACAAACTTGTAAAATATATTGAAAACTTCTCTTTTGCTTCCATAATTAATAAATAATCTTTATATGTGGAAATAAATTATACCTAATAAGAACAAAGCCAATTCAATTCTAAGCACATGGTTATTTCTTAATTATTGCAAAAAAAGGTGAGTTTTTGATATCTTTTTAATCTATTTTATCGATTAAGGATATTATTTTATTAAAATTTTAATGTATATTTTTTAAGAACTCTCTCTCTCTCTCTCTCTCTCTCTCTCTCTCTCTCGCTAATGTCACAATTCAAAATAATTGTAGAGGGACAGCAGGAACTTGAATATTTTTGATTGTTTTTAATAAATTTTGAATATTGCAATTTCCTAATAATTATTAATATTAAAACATACTAAAACGATTTTATGACATTGTTAAGACATTCCAAAGAAATATAATGAAAAAAATAAAATTGTGAAAGGTGCAAGAAAGAGAAATAGTGAAACGGAGAATACGCTCGGCAGATTTCATATATTACATACAGGAAACGATGCGGAAGCTGCCTATATTTTTCCTGAAATCGCTTATTAGACTACCGATATACCGGATATCGTTATGGCAGAATTGTTAAGATTTTAGTCAATAGTACTATAAATAATCTCAAATAGTACATTTATAGCAGGCATATTGCAATGTCGGTATATTTGAAATAGTTTATTGGTATAATCAAAATGGAACAACATAATTATACATTTATATAAATGATACTGCTATATCTATATATGCATATGTATATATAGATTGTTTTCTCGATTTTTTTAAATTTAATTTCTTATTAAAATTGTAAAATTTTATCTCATAGGCTGTGTATTAGTTTTATTTAATCGCATTATATTTTATTATCAAATTCATCATCAAATAATTAATTTCAAAGTAAAATATACGCATAGTACCTTTACAAAAATTACTATGATGTAGTTTTCAAGAATTTTTTTGTGTTTTCAAGAAACTTAAAAAACGAAAAAAGGGAATTCAATGGATGGGAAATTTTAAATTTATCAGTTGTAATGTTACACTAATGAAACATTTGTGACTAATGCAATTTTTAATGGATAATTTATCTCGAATATTTTTGATGAAACTGTATAATGAACACTTTATATGATTTTATTTTGAATCAATAAATGATTTAAAACATTTTTGTGATTGTTTTAAATGTTAATTTCTGATTATTACAAATTTTTTTTTATTATGAAGATGTAATACAAGGAGATTAATTACTGACCGACACGAAGTTACCTTTTTTTTTACAAAAGCGAAAATAATTATTTTTTGTAGTTTTTAAGTTTTTTAAGTTTTGTAGTTTTAAGTATTCAATATGATCTTCTATTTATCAAATTACTCTATTGCATTATAATCTTGAGAAATTTGCAATTAAAAAAGTATTTTTAAAAAAGTATTTTAATATAGTATTTTGTCATATAATTGTGATATATATAATTATGACATATTGGAAAAGTTTTGTTACAATTAAAAAATAAATATCTTGTTAGAAGTTTCAAACATTAAAAGGAATGTGTTATATCGATTATGGTTGGAAAGATGATTAAGATTTATTGCGTCTCAAAGTTATGATTTGCATTAATTTTTGAGATCGTATTCAGCATTCGGAAAATTATGGAAAACAATTAGTTTCTCATTCTTTAGATCTTTTTGTCAAACAGAATTATGGAACAAATGTTAAACGATATATTACCAATAAAAGAGCGAAATGTATGAAATGTCTAATAAATTAGCAGTACAACTTTCAAAAAGATAAATCATTCATTCAAAACAAGAAAAAGATACAAATATAAAATATATAATGTGCATTTATAATATAATCTTTTCTTTATTTATTATGTAATTTCTAAAGAAAATTAATTTAAAACTGAAGATATTCTAATTAAAATATATATTGAATTTACATATTGAATTTATGTGTCAATTAGGATCTAAATCTTTGTCATAACTGTTTAGGGAGTTGAAATGTTTATTACACTACATATGTGAACTTTTAATCACTAATATCATAGAAAAATGTTTTAATTTTAATATATTTATGATTATGATGAATTATATATTATTATTAAGTACATTATTATTAGAAGAAATTAGTTTTAAGATATCTTAGCATCATTACGATATCAATATCATTCTATTGTATAGAGAAACATTTAAACAAATTTTAAAATAAAACTTTATGAGTCTTACCGATCAGTAACTGTACGCAAATTTTAATCAAAATCAAATAAATTTATTAATAACTAGAAATTTCATTTAAAATACACATTACATCTATATGTTATAAATTAAAATTATTCTCATGATTTTTTGTGTGAAATATCATTTGTGTGAAAAATACATCTCGGAAGGAAGTAGAACATCACGCTCTTTTTATCAAATATAACTTTATCGAGTTTTTTTGTTTAATAATTTACCGGCAGTCAGGGACACGTTACGCGTCATAAAGGAATAATATCATGTATGCTTAATGTTTACATTATATACTGCATTTTTTGTAATCTATTTTTTGTAATCGATTAAATCTATTCAAATGACATGGTAATAGTTTTTTACGTAGTAAGAATTGAAAAACAAAACACTACACGTTACATACACTATCTTTATCGATGTGTTCGTATCATTTCCTTGATGTATTATTTCTTGATGATATTCTTTGTAATTTGATAATAATTACACCAACACTTTGTCACTACTTGATGAGTAAACACAATTATGATAATTATTTCAAGTATTTTTCACATTCAAGAAAGGTTGTGGAGTTACGTTATCAACGATCTCTGATTATATCTGACGATCTCGTCACATTTCGCGATAAAGATTTGATCAATGAGTACAACGTGCGTTTCTTTATCACCAAAATATTGTCAAAAAGACTTTTTATGATTACTGGAAGCTTGCCGGGTGACGTGACGGCAATCGAATGACGGCTATGTGGAGTTGGTAATGATAGTCGGAAGAACGGTACGGTACTGCATCGATATACCTCCATCCATTTCACTCTCACTATCCTTGTCGTTCTCATATTCAGTCTTCTTCTTGTCCTTCCCGAAGACTCCCAGTCGCACTCTGGCAGTGAAAGTATTCTCTTCCTGTGGTTACATACACGCATCTACCTATCTATCTAGCTACCTACCTACCTATCTACCTACCTACCTACCTACCTACCTACCTACCTACCTACCTACCTACCTACCTACCTACCTACCTACCTACCTACCTACCTACCTACCCTACCTACCTACCTACCTACCTACCTACCTACCTACCTACCCTACCTACCTACCTACCTATCTACCTACCTACCTACCAACCAACCTATCTATCTACCTACCTATCTAGCTATCTACCTACCTACTTATCTATTTCTCTACCGACTATCTATCGACTTATCCATCTATTCATTTATCTCTATCTACCCATCCTAATTAATAGAAACATATAATCAACAATCAAATAACATTCGCACAAACGTTATTCTTGCTTGTACGCGAAAAGATGATACAATCGAGAATTAGAAAATGATTGAGTTTCCGCATGAGCAAAAAGCTACTTATAAAGTAACCTACGGGATGAGGCATATGAAGCACGAACAATTTTTCAATGCTTTAAAAAAACTTCTCTTAAAATGTCAATTCTGAAAGAATATATTATATTCGAATTAATAATTTAATAAACATTGCGTTATAGTACTATTCTTTGATCGACAATATACATATATCGTCATTCTACTAATTATTAAATCGCATATTTAATCGCGGGAGTGTTATAGACGCAGTAGTGTTCTCGCGAAAAAAAGAATAAAGCTTTTTATTTTTATTGGGATGATGGTCTTTTTCAGAAATAATTTGTGAATAATTGTTATATCTTGAAAATAAAACTATTCTTTTTAAAAGGTAATAACATCTCATTGGAACTTTTATTAAAATCTAGATGTTCGTAGAATACAAGATGACTTTTATCTACGAGAAATGACAGCAGCTCTAATGTTGCTTCTTGTAATTGACTCGAGAATATTCATTTCCATGAAGTAGTTAGATATTATGTCTTTCATCATTCCCTCTATTATCGTATATGTAAAGTTCACTGTAACATTTTATAAGAATTGAGATGATACTTGGAAAGGAAACTTCTTTGAATATGATAAAAGATATTTAGCAAATGACTTATATTGTAAGAAACTTTTTTCTCGATATCTCGATTAATATACACAAAATTCGTAATGATACATAATGATACGTAAAGTTACGTGAAAAACTTTAGAGTGCAAAATTTATATTTCTAAGGAATCAATTTAGAATATGTTCAGAATTTTGTTCCATATTGATTGTATTGTTATTTCCTTATTTGATAATTCTATGGTTACAATGAATACTATAGTTACAGTGAATGTAATATGCGATTATATGCGATATTAAAATCTTGATTTTGTATCTATTTTCGTAGAAACTTGTCACTAATAAATAACGACATAATTTGCTTTTATACCTTGTGCTTTCAAGAACTTAACGAAATAATTTACATTTAAAATTTCATCATTCGACAATTCTATATCTTTTTTTTAAGTATAATCTTTTTTATAAATTTTTTTTCTTTTCATTTTTCCACATTTTTTTATCATTAAAATAAAATGTAATAAAATTTTTAAAATGTTGGCTTAACAATACGGAGCATAAATATTTGACTGATCGAAAATTATACGTAGAAAAATTTCTCTGCGTATTCCTCGCGGGAACACATCTTTTTTTTCTGGTAATTTTCTACACTTTCTTTTGTTAGTTATACTTTACGCAACCATTTTCGCGCATAAAGTTAACAGACTAAAGTCTGATGTAAATACAGCGGTCACTTTCACTCTCTCCATATTCCACCTCCTTTTGTATGCACCGAATAACATCTCGGATATTCTGAAAGAAGAGTTCGCGTAACGTATCGAATTATCGATGTAATGGCATAACAGAAACACGCTTCTCTTCTCACATCGATTGACCAATGTGAGATTTCAAAGAAATATTAAATAAATCTGCAGAGATAATTGAAAAAGCGGAAGTAACATTTACGCTAATTTTCAATGGCATGCTTCGTTGTGCTGTTGTATTCTGTTAGATATGTTAACGGATAAGATGAGAAAGAGGAAATAAAATACGCGTGAAAGTATGCGCACAACTTTTGGCACGAGATGCGACGTTATGTAAAATTACGTCTGCCTCTTTATGACTCGAAAGTTGTTACAATCTCGCATATCTCCGAAATATCGAGTCGTCTTTCTCGCTCTTTTAACCGAAAAAATACACTTCTAATAATAAGCACTCATCATTGATTGAATTGATAAAGCTAATTTTAATATGATTTATTCACAAAGGAATCTTCAAAAGATTCCCATCATTGATAATTAGTATTAATTGTAGGAAGGAATGTTATATAGGATATATAAAAAATAAACACAGTATATAATTGAATGAAATAAATTATTATTTTTTACATTACTTTACACAGAATGGCACTGCCACTCTACGTCATTAAGTCATTAACATCATTAAAATTTATAATTCTATGACTCTGAAACTTTGAAAGTTTCCAATATTTCATAATACATGTATATAATGTTATAATCGCGCGCGCGCGTGCGCTCTCTCTCTCTCTCTCTCTCTCTCTCTCTCTCTCTCTCTCTCTCTCTCTCGTAAAAAAATTAATATTTATAAAATATCTAATAATCTTTCAGGCATCACATTTGTATAATTGATATTTCGCACGTATTAACCTTGAATATGATGCAAACTTTAATAAATAGAAATCTTTTTATCAATTACACATGAAAAAAAGGAAATACAAAAAATTATATACAAATTGCTTTTGCAATAAAAAGATGATAAATTATAAAAATATTCATCGAAATCTTATTATTAAAAAGTATAAAAAAATTATTTAACTAGACGAGATGTATGTAAAATATGAAAATAATGATTTCGTCACCTGTATCCAGTATTTCGTTTTTCTTTACTCGCCAATCCTCCTTGATAATATCACTGGCTTTCTCGCCGATCATGATAGTCGGCGCGTTTGGATTACCACTGACAATAGTTGGCATTATAGACGCATCGGCGACCCTGAGTCCTTTTACGCCGTATACTCTTAATCGTGGATCCACAACAGCTGTGGTATCGCTTCGTGGTCCCATTTTGCAAGTACTCGTCGGATGATAAATCGTGAAGGTAAAGTGTCGCACGGCACACTCCCAATATTCGTATGTATCAAATGGATGTTTATGACAACCCGGCATACGAATTGTGTGAGGTCTCGAGCCGAATCGTTGAAACGCGCTAGTATTTGATACTTGCATCGCCAGTTTAATTCCCTCTATGAGGACGTCCATGTCCTCCTTATGCGTGAAATAATTGGGATTGATATCCGGTTTAACTAAAGGATTTTTGCTCTTCAACCTGATCCATCCTGTACTTTTAGGTCGCAACAGAAGCGGTAAGATCGACCAAGTTTCGACACCGTGCAAAGGCTTGTACATAATGTTATATACACGATCTCTCAGACCGAGAATTTTTCTTATTTGTTCGCCGTCGGAATTGATAGAGCTTGGCGCAAAGTGAAACTGCACATCTGGATAATCGCCAGACTTGTCGGCATATTTGGTATTAAGGAAGGCCAACGCCTCGACCCCCGGTGTAGTCATAGGTCCTTGTTCCTTCACAATATATTCAAACATCACCGAGAACGTTTGAAATCGTTCCTTCATCAGGGTAATTGGCTCGTTTACTAGAAAAGTCAGTCCGCCAAGACCCACGTGATCTTGAAGATTATCCCCGACTCGTAGATTGGATATTATTGGTATACCGAATTCGGTCAAGTGCTCGCTCGGACCGATTCCGGAAAGCATGAGCAACTGAGGCGAATTAATCGCGCCAGCGGATAGAATAACTTCCCTTCTACATCTCACGATCTGTTGTCTGCCATCGCGAAGGAACTCTACACCTGTTGCTCTTTTCTCGTCGTTGAAGAGCACTCTTAGACCTTGAGCGTGCATCGCAATGTGCAGATTTGGTCTGTTCTTCACCGGTCGTAGAAAGGCCTTCGCCGTCGAGCATCGACTGCCACGTCGGATTGTCGCTTGCGTCAACATGAAGCCAGTTTGATTGAATCCATTTATGTCTCGATTTTCATAGCCCATCTCTTGACCAGCCTGTAAAAAAGCAATCGCCAGAGGAGTTTTCCAGGATGGCTCCTGCACTGTCAGGTAACCTCCTATTTTGTGATAAGGCGTTCTCGCTAAATATGGATTGCGATTGTCTTCGGACTTGAGAAAATAAGGAAGCACTTCCTCGTAACTCCATCCTGTGTTACCCAATCGAGCCCAATTATCGTAGTCGTGCCTAGAACCAACACTCGATTGTTATTTAAACGTTTTAACGTTTTCAACTCGTTAACGCAACAGTTCTAATGATGAAAATGAAATGTACACTTGCCGATTACCACGAACGTAAATCATGGCGTTGAGAACACTGCTTCCCCCAAGAACTTTGCCGCGTGGCCAATTACACCTGTCGCCTATCATGGCGAGACAATAGGCAGACCCACCGGGTGGTGAAGTCTGATACTTCCAATCGAATTCTGTGAGCTGAGTATATCCGGCAAGCAGGGGGATGTCGGAAATTTCGTTTTCATCATCGCCAGCTTCTAAGAGTAGTACCGTCCAATTAGGTATTTCTGACAATCTCGAGGCCACCACAGCACCCGCGCTACCACCTCCAACTACTATAAAGTCGTACATTCGTAGAAGCTGAAATCGTATCACGATTCGTCACATAGATGTATTTATAATTAAAGATACACACAAATACATAAATTTGATTTTGCAAACATGATGAAAACATGATCGATATCAATAATTTAATAATTAAACAAATCAATCACCGGAATAATGTTTTTAAGGCTTCCACGGTTACTATTTTCAAAAAAGTTAATATATTTACAGGTATTATCCGTGTCATTATATACGTTGTTGAATGTTGCCAACGTTTCGTGAGTATTGCAGTTATGATAAAGTGAAGTGAGCAATGCTCATGAAACGTTAGCATTTAACAATGTATATAATAATACGGATAACCGTAAATATATTAACTTTTTTCATATCGGAATAAGTTTTCTAGAGTCTTATGAGTTTAATTGTAATTTATTGATTGTAATCTACTTGTTTGAATACCGCGCAATAGTAAATATATAATAAATATATAAATTCATCGTGACGATCACGAGTACTATTTTACTGACTATATGGGAGAATAGAGGAAAAAGGGATTATCTAATACTTCTATTATTTCAACTAAATTCTACAGATAAATTCCTGTATTCCCATCTTCTTTTCATACCTCTTGCGCATTTTGCGGATGCGATTCTGGATCAAGGCTATTGTACCTATACATGGTGAAACCGATCGCCAAAAGTGGAATTAAACCAAGTCCAAGAACAGAAGTCGTCCCGATCAAGCTTGTTAATATTGCTGCCATTTCCTTTTATATTCACCGCCAAATATTAATATCCAAATGCATGTCATCTGAGAAATTATTTTTTTGAGCATCAATGGAGAATGTGAGTTCTCTCTGAAAAGAAATTGCTAATTAATTTTATTATTATTAAATAAAATGTTGAAATTTATTTGAATACTGCATAATATATAAACGTCAAATATATAAATCTCATATGGGATGTTATCTATTGTCAACGTGAAAGGAATGAAAGAATGGAGGAAATATATGTTTTAGAGAAAAGTAATAAGGAAATTATATTAAAAAATTTATAAGAGTAATATTTTTTATAACAAGTAACACGATTCAATAATTACGTAATGTTTATAAGATATTTATTATACATTATTTCAGAACAATTAATTCGTTTATAATTGCACAAACAATTATCTGAATCATTATCGCAGCATAAGGGATGTTTATTTTTACTTTAGATGTTTTATGAATCATATTTTCAATATAAACTTTTATTGTGAATCTCATAAACTTTTCCATTGAAAAAATCCTGATAATATCGATATTTGCAATTTTTTATTCTCTATGTCATGTACTCTTGTCGACTCGTATCTGACAAGGTTAACGTCAATGACCAGACATAACATAATTCAGCAAAAAACTACGAGTTTGAATAAAACTACACTTTTGTCTCGATTCTTGTTAATACGTGTGTAAATAGGAATGTACCGCAAAGATATTCTAACGGCAGATAACATTCAGATCACCTCGGCAATATATGTTGCATCCGTGTTTATTTGTTACTCGCGTACATTTACAAACGTTGTATTGGTTTTTAAATTGGTTTTTATTGACAGTATCTCTTTACTTACTATACTTTCATGACATCGATTGTAACAGTAGTCTCCCGATATTTGCAATCTCGTACTCGAGTCAAATCACATCTTATTTTACGTTGCAACGTGCAGGCTGCTATTGCATTAATTTGCTTAATAAACTTCAAAAATGTATTGAACGTTAAACCGACAAGATGGCAGCGGAATGAGACAAGCGCCGGTAAGAACCAGACTGCTGTGCATCGGTGAATGTTTGGAGTGAAAACCAGTTGGGTCCCTAGTATATCCTTTCAATTCAATGCTGCTAACGTCACGTACGCGGTACCGTAACAACAATGTATAGTCTGTGTGCTCCGAATCTTCTCAGACAAATTAAATTATCTTTGCATTATTTTTGAAGATGTCTTTATATATATATTTATTTTATATTTTGCATAAATGAAATTTTTTAATTTTTAATTTTTTTACATCTATTTTTATTTAATAGAAATAACCATTGAAAATATATCTTTATATCCGAAAATAAAACCTGATAAGTACGGTAACAGATTTAATTACATTATTTTTAATCATATTATTTTAGTTTAGCTATAGCTTGTAAAAAAAAAACGAGCGTATATATTCATATTTTTGGTAACAGAGAATGAGAAAAAAAACAAGTAGAAAACATACTATTTATATCGTATTATCAAAATATCAAACGTTTACCTTAAATGTTATATGGATAAAATGTGAAATGTAAAATATAAAGAAATATTACGATAGAGCATAATATAACACTCCTCAATTATAGATCAAGTATTTTTTTTTATAGTTGTTGATAGCAACAATTGATAGTGATCAGATACGACGAACGTTATTTTTATCGAGAGACGCAAAGTGAAGATTTGTTTTAATTATCGATACACAATTTCAAACGAATGAAATTATTGAATGAAGATTTGGTGACACATCTTTTTGCGGCATTTCTTTGGAACGCGTAAATCGTACGCGAAACTCCTCTCTTTCGTACGCGATAATATGTCGGTATCTTTCTCTTTACTTTCATGGCGGGAAGACGACTTTACTCGCACACTTTCTCTCTTTTACAGTGTCTACGTGCCGTTCAACAGGCAGCACTTCTTCAATCCGCATTTACGTCATTACATTGCCTTGCGTCTATGCGCTGCGCTTCGATTCTCTCGTTAACCTTCGATTCACTCTAGAGATCGGAGATTGTGAGAAAGAAACTGTGATCTTGTTGACCGCGTTTCCACCTTTACGACTTTTCGACATAATAACCTAATTTCGCGATACAAACTCTAAAGAGTTCTACATTGTGAGAAAAACCTCT